CATCTTCAGTTACCCTGAAAGCCTAGTACAGATTTAAAACTTGCAGCCCTACACCGACTAATAGTGATGTCTCAATATGAATGAAAAAATCTTGGAAGGGATGTTAAACTATCAAACAATTTACAAAATAAACATCTTGGATTATATTTTTTTAATATTTTACATTCGTTCTAAATGACAATGAGGCACCGGGTGAGATGAACGATTTACATATATTGAAACAAAAGTTGAAAATATTGATTTAGTAGGAAGACACATAATTCATAACTTCAATGTAAAACTTTTTCACTTTTCAAAAAAATACTCTAAATCCACTGTAAAAGATTTGAAAATACATGTTTTGATTGGAATCGGGGAATACGTCGTTTCTTTCAATGCTGGTGAGATAGGGTTAACTCATTAATGTGATTCTGAATCTTTTGTATACAGTGGAGCCTATTTATCATTATTTGGTTCCCAGTAAATTTGTAATAATATATGAAGCGTTTGGATACCTGAATCATCAGTTAAACAAGACAAAATAACGAAAAAAATTTTTAAAAAATCGTACGTATACTGAAGCATAGGATAAAAAGATCCACTGTAATGAAATCCATGAATGTTTACGACAAACTGTTTTCGTGTGTAAATAGTCTTTTAGCGGTAAAACACCATTAGTTTTACTTCAAATCTATTACAGTGATAAAAATAAAAGATGCAAAATCCACATCCGCACTTATTTTTTCATAACAAAATAAACTCATACAAAAATAAATGTTATTGAGGCATTTAATTTTATTGAAGACTTATTATAACAAAAAGTCCCTATAAATTAGTGGAAGCCTTTATTTGTTTATATTTGTCTCATATATTCACGACGGCTGGGAAAATGTCTTATGAAATCAGACAAAGGATATTTTTAAAAAGGTACTTTAGCATTACTGAATATATCAACATTGTTAAAAATTTTGGGTAGCGTAGTAAATAATGGTATAGTACAGCCGTGTGTTCGTACTCACCAACACAATTACTGGCGTCCATCCAGGGAAACAAAAATATGCCAAGTCTGATCACAGACATTGTTTTTAAATATCACTACCTCATTCGATTACAATAGGATCCATAATATCCTTGACTACATCCTCTGATACATCGACCATCACCACCATCACAAGAGCCCTCCCGACAGATCTTGCTACAAGGCTGACATGCTGGGCCAAAGTATCCCGGTAGACAACCTTAAACAAAAACATATGTAAGAAAATAAAATTTCATATTGATGGATCAAATTCATACCGAGATGCATGGTAGGAATTTTGATGCACAAAAAGAAATCAATCTCTGTATTAATATGAAATTTATTTTATTATAAATAATTTTAATAGTTGTCGTTCCTTCTACTGATTTTCCAGCAAGGGGAGATGTCTGTATATTTCTAATTTTAAGGTTTTTGATTTCAAATATTTTATTAGGTAATTGAACATAAATGGATAGGGCAGCAGGCATATATCACCCTCTGCACAAGTACCAGGTTAATAAATGCACATCAAATGAGGTCTCAGGTTCATATATACCAAATAGCTATATTTATAACTAACACAACATTGAATGGAATTTATGAGAAAGTAAAAAAAAAATACATAAATGAAAAGAGAAAACGAAAAAAAAAACAAACGATTGAATACCTGTTAATTATATGGAAATGAGAGGGGAAAATGAGAAAAAAGAGAATTACTGCAATTTATAAACGTTCAATGAATGTGTATTTGATTTAGGCAAAAATTTTAATAGTATTTTATAGTTTCACATCATTTATAAAACCTTTTGGTTTGTTATATATATTTATGAACACAATCAAACAAGTTTGATTTTAAGTGTTTTACTTTGAATTTACGTAAGAATCGATGGCACAGCTTATTCAATAGTCCCTATAAGAAGTTAAAGAATTTATGTTTATCTTCTTCTTCAGGTAGATGTATCTATTTTGAAAATTCTGTGGACTTAAAATCAGGTAGAAAGGCATTTTGTATTTTGCATCTTTGTCTTGAAATATTTTTGCTTTGTTAAAATATTGGTTACATTGTAAATACTGGTACATGTCAAGTAGTTTTTTAACTCACCATCGCAATGTGGTGGATTCCATCCAGGGACGCACGAACAGGTGCCATTAGTCTGATCACAGACGTTGTTTTTACAGTTTTGACTACAGATCCAATTACAGTGAGATCCATAATATCCTGGAGCACATCCTCTGATACATCGACCATCACCTCCATCACAAGAGCCGTATTGACAGTTCTTATTACAAGGCTGACATGCTTGACCATAGTGTCCAGGCATACAATCACCTTGAATGTACATGTATTTATGAAAGAATAATGTCAAATATGATTACACCCCCCCTAATCACACGCACAAAAAAAGGTAATGCAGTTTGAAAGAGATTCCAAGACCAGGAGTAGACTTAAGACCCCTGATTTCGTAAGGATTAGAACTTCAACTTGAAGGCTAGATATTTCTATCAAAAATATACGTTTTTTAGGGCATACACATTTTTATGATTTATATATTTACTTGTACCAGAATATAGTTAAAAAGAAAGGAAAAAACTGTTTTTCTTACCATAAACTTGAATTTCGCATATTTCAAGTATAGCACCTGTGATTGTGAAATTTTCATTTTCAGGAGCTTCATAGTTTGTAATAATTCTGAGGTATCTTGCTGTTACTTCACATGGAATATTCTGTATGTTTAAAGGTATTGTGTGTGTTGTGTGTATCTTTGTAACATTGTATCCACGTTTGTGCATTAGATGATACTTCTAAAGCATATTGCCTGAATCGGTAAGGTCTCCCAGGTTCCTCCAGCGGTTTCTATTTAACAAGACATTGATATTCTATTTTATTACACCCCTTTAGCGTTATGAATTGTTCAATGGAAGAGAAATGATAATCATTTTATTATTGAAAATATTCAAGAGAGAGAGAAAATATGTTCAGTAAACTGTGAACTAATTAGTATTCGAGTTATCTTTGATTTGCAATTCATCAGTTTAAAATATATCTGCGACGATATTCGCGATTGAGGTAATATTATCAACAAATATAAAAGAAAATAATAGCTCGCGCGCGATAAAAATTTGCAAGTTTGAGTATATCGCAAATCTCGTAGATATTTCTTGCACGCGAATAAAAGTTTGTTTAAAGAAATTTTAAGAAATTAAAGAGAGAAATAAATACATTCTTAAGAAAAATAAGAATAAAATCAAATATGAGATACACATTTAATTCTTTTCCCTCATTCTTAAATATTAAGATTTAAGTTTCTCCTTCTCCTCCAAGTAATTTGCATCTTAATTTGAAATTCTCGGCTATTTCTGATTAGACCTTAAAGAATCCCGTCAACGACAGGCGTTGATACAATAAAAACTATAATATATATTGCACAGTGACCTACTATGTCAATTATAAATTTAAATGTAAATAATATATATGGGGCTGGCAAAACCTCTGGTGAGATTTAGAGAGACGATAGCAGGACTATTAATTAATGGAAAAGGTCAATTCTTCATGTAAGTGTATCTTGGAAGTGACTTGCAGATGGGGACACGGAGAACAGTCATGTAACATTTTGATTTATAGATTTATACCACTTTATAATGGCAGTTGAAAGTTACCTAAAGCTTATCTTACTCCAGAATTATATCTTACACATTCAATAAATACTTTTTTAGATATGATTGGATGGAAAAATTTAATATAATGTACATCCACATACGATGAAATGCATGTACATACCTACAAGACAAATTTGCTAACGCACAACCTAAGAAAAGTATCATTTTACTTTTAAATACTTGTTTATGATGTATTAGATATATAGATATGTTACTTTTACAAAAAAAAAAAGCAAAAAAAAAAAAACCTTATAAATGACTACAATCTTTACTGAAATGTAACCATTTTATAGAAGAAAAAAAATAAAATTGTGTTTGTTCCATTTTTGATGAAAAATATTCATTTTTTTCTTTGTATTTGTGATACCTCACAAGTTACAGATTAAAAACTCGGAAAAAAAGTTACAACGTATATGGCGTTTGGCGTAAGAAGAGCGTGGTGAAGCAGACAGTATGGCGTCTGCAGGGGGTTCCTTTAGAGAATCTAGAAAAAATGAAAACTAAGAAATGCTTATGAAATTCGCTCATAAAAATTGTTGTTAATATATTATCAATCATAAAAATGTTTACGATAGAAAGCCACGGCTTTAAGTTAGCAGCATACAATAAGTTGAAAATTGTTCTACAAAACTGGGTCAACCGGAAGTTGAGTGGGTTTTGTATGGGCACTACGGCATCGTATGATTATTAGGCTATATGAAAATTAATTAACGTAGAACCTACGTCGTATGACATCATAATTAGTGAATGTGTTTAGCCTGTGCTAGATCCATTATGACGTCATAATTAATTCAATGCCATTTCCCGTACTTTACAGCTTCAGTATAGAAATGGTAGAAAATACAGCATTTTGAAATTCACAGAATTCAATTTAAAATCATGCCGAAATAATTTAATTCAATTTATATATTTTTTTAATATAATGCTTAATGACGATATATTTTTTGAATTAGAGAAACCTGTAGGCACCTTTCATTTAATAGATCTTGACCTTAATTAAGTTGACAAAGTCAAGACTATATTGTGCGATGAAATTATAATGTATACAACTTACTATAATAATGTAAATGGCATGTAACTATTTTGAAGGAATGCAAAAATCCTATGAAAAAAATTCGTCAGTTGCCAACTAAATAGTGTAATATCTTGATGAAATGTGTCCAAGTCAAAGATGTATGTGCTGTAGATTGTGTGTACATTTTTGTGATATCTATCATGAAATGATGTGCATTCCTTTTCATAATTATTTGTTACTTATTCATATTCTTGGAGTTTTATTACAATTTTTCTATCAAATATGATCTTTTAAATTAAGGGTACAATTTTTTATAAACATTTTTAATCCGAAAGTAACCCCAAACAGTCATTTAATAATAAAATCCGTGTAAGTGCAAAAAGGTCAAGAGTATTAGCATCGGTAAATAGCCTATCTCTCATTAGTTAGTGGGGAAAGGTATATATTTTAATCACTTTTTGTAATCATTTGGATATGTTCTTCATCATATTAAAGATTGAAAACATTGTGACAAAGACTTCTGAAAAATATTTGCAAATGTAGGGTGGAAAATTGACTGAAAATAAATAGAGTTCATTTGCCTATAGTTTTGAAAATGTGGACTTATCTTTTATATCAATTGAATAAAAAAGAATTTATTCTCGGGAAATATTGTTTAATACTGTTTAATTGATAAACAATAAAAATAATGATGTTTAAAGAAGTAATTTTGGGATTTTTTTGTCTTCTTTACATGACAAGTACCCCTAAAATGACTGAAATTGTGAAGTCGCAATATGTATTTATCATTCCATGTTTCACAGGCTGCACTACATTCAATAACAAGGAAACATGTCATGCGCTTTTAACTGATTGACAAGCAAGTGCTAATGTATCATTATGAAAAGTTTGAAAATCTTGTGACAAAGACTTCTCCGACATAGGTTCTACCTTAATGACTGTTTGATATTTGATATATAAGTAAGGGGAATACTCCTCACAAACCACCTATAGTGATCAAGAGTATCATATCTGGGCAAACCTACGCGTCGACGGTAAAACTCAGTCTGCGACGTTGAGTCAGCGTTAACGGTTGCAAATATCAAATTAGAAGATAGATGTTCCCTAATTTATTTCACCAATCATAATATTTTATTATACACAATAATGAAAATGTCATTACAGAGAAAAAAAATCACAGATTAAAAAAAATACTTATTATTATTTCTTTTTTATGGAGGCATCTTCGGGTAGTATGGATTCAAGTTTGTTCAAATCATTGTTCTTTGGGGCAAAGTGGGGTTAAATGGGTGATTGAGGCTTTACGTAGAAATACACAAGAAAAATCGTTAAAATTCTTCACAAGGACAACAAAACCATGATGATTATCAATATTAAAGCATCAAAAAGAAAATATTGATTTAAATTTGTTCAAATCATGACCAACCAGAATGGAGGAGCCATTAATATGGATCATAGTTAAACAAAGGAATATAAAGGCTATATCAATTAAAAAATCTTATATATAGCTAAGCTATAATTTATCATTTTGATTTAAATCCGTAAGAAGAATATATTTTAGCAAGTTCAACTCCTACCCTGAACCCATTTTTATATTTAAACTATTCAATACTTAACTGATTTTTGTTTTTACCTAACCAGTTGCTCAAGCGAGGTATGTGGCCCTTAGGACTCCATTTATACTTAGGCGTCGGAACATTTGTAGTATATTGAAATTGGGTGGTATAATTGAAAGTTTGGGGGACTAAACTTCCTAAAAAGGTAAGCCCCAATTTTCAATGTCTATATTTCACAGTCATATCATTGCAAAAATGTTGAAGACTTAGCCCCTCTATAGCGCCCCTTTCAGTTAAATAAACGTATGAGAGAGAAAAGAAATTTCATTGTAGGGAAAATCATATTGGTCACCTTCCCTTTTCAAAAAAAAAAATATGTTGATCACTTTTATTATATCCCCCTTTTAAATTTTCATGTACCGAACTTATTACGAGCTAGAAAAAAATAAATTACACACGAAGTAATAAACCCTTTCCCTTTTACATTGTAATAACATTTACGAGAACATAGAATATTGAAAACGTCTATACCTCAGATCCTTATCACCGAAAAATTTTCCAACCAGGCCCTATTACCGTAAACTTACAAACCTTTAAGGATTAATCTATGGAGAAGAACCTGAAAAGGCGTAATTACACCAAAAGGGATAATAACGCGGAAAAGATATAACATTTAAATTGCCGTTTTTACGCATTTCAAAAAAGCATTATTTGCCTTTTCATAAGGCGTTATTACGCCTTTCCGAATGCCGTAGGCTCGCCTTTTAAAAAGGCCTTTCTTGTAATTGGTGTTTTACTCCTTTCTTAAAGGCATAAGTTCGCTTTATTCATAAGGCGTTATTATGCCTTTTGAATAACATTCCCTTACACATTGCTTTTCAAAGGCGCTTGAGGCTACCAAAATATATAGAGAAACAAAAAACCAAGCCCCCTCCCTTTCCGACAGCATTATTAACAGAAACCAGTTATTGCAATAATCAAGTGCAATGATAGAATAATAATATGTTTGACGTACATGTACGGGGGAAGGAGAATATAACCCAGTCCTCCTGATCAAAAATTAAAGATTTTGTGCTACTATATCTGATTAGCTTGAACATCTCATATCTTGTTCAGAATGAAATAAAAAAGATAACCAACATATTATTATGCCCAAAAGTCAATCTAAGAAACAGAAATCGAGAACACAGATAGTACGGACAGCTAGTACGGACTCAATGAAAAGAAACATATTTACCATCATCTCTATAAAAAATTTTGATGTTTTTCAGTCTATATTCTTTTCTAAGGTCCACCATAACCCATGCTTGTCCTGTTTTGTTTTCAGCTGTATGTGAGCACCTATTGTAGAACTGTAGGTTATCCCCGTCGATCACTTTATCTGCTGATAATCCAACTCTTGTAGAGCTCTGAGTTGCAGTACACCTTGTTGTTTCACATATGCTATCTGTGGATTTTTAAAATTTGATTACTGCGTATATCTAAAACGACATCAAGTTTCTAACAGT